CAACATTACATTGCGGTTATATGTATTATTCAGAATCCAATTAGAACATTGCATGGTATCTCATGTTGCATTCATTTCAATGTTATAATCTTGCGTTTCCCAAATTATCTCTCTAGGTTTCATATTTTATATCATAATATATAAAGTATTTTTGATATTTTTAAAAAAGCATAGTATTTCCAGAATTGTTATTCATATGGAACTTTTCCGACAAAGCAAAATAAGTTAAATTGGGGATGGGGATGGAAATGAGACTCATTCAAAATTAGTTTGCACAACATAACCGATTACCCAAGCCCAATACTCAAATCACCCTAGAATTTAAATAAAATTAAAAGTAAAAGTAAAAATAAAAATAAAAATAATATAAAAATGAGGTAGTAAATATGACAGAAGATTGCCTCTTCTCGTCCTGCCTCGCTCCACCCTGCCTTAAGCGGTGATTGGGGTGGGAACTAGATGATAAAATCCTTGGCATGGCGAGGACGATGACCTTTGCCATCCCAAGCTATATCCAATAAATGCTGGCAAAGTTCGTGGGGCTTTGAGATCATTGCCATGTGGTCAGCATCTTTTATCTCTTTCACTATTGTTGCTCCAGAGATTTTGATTTGCCAAGTTGGAAATCTAATTTTAAGGTTTTATCCTTGTCAGGCATGATGTAAGCACGCTTAACAGATCCATACATTTCATTGGAAAATGCACTCTTCTTTGACAAATCATCCCAGAAATTAGAAATTGGCCTCATCAACCCTTTTGCTAACACCACATCCTACCATAATGGATTGAAAACATTTATCGGTCACTCAACATATAGCAGTGTTTCACCTTGATTACTTAACTTTTCCTTTGTTGTAAATTAGTAATTAAACTTAATTTTTCAGTTCACCTCAACATTTTTAAAATATTTCTTATTTTATATATTTATTTTACCTCATGAGGGCAAAGTTGATATAGTTTGGATGACATGAACTGGGGGCCAAAGAGCATTGATACAAGATGATCTTCGGGTCTACCATACGGTATGAATTGATTGTCCATAATACCTTCCTTCGAGATTCCTTCAAACACCTGCGAAGCAAGTTAATGCAAGTAATTTAAGTAAAATATATCAACAAAAACAGCATCACTTTGTTTCATCAAATAAATTTTGCTATATCATCGTTGTTTTTATTATTTTTTTTTTTATAAAAATGAATAATGTCATTGTGTTAATATTTTTGTTGAAATTCATAACAAAGTTTCGCAACACGATTTATTTCATAAATTTTGAAGTACCATTTTCTTCCTTAGTAATTTTCAATTCTAGGATAATAAGCTATTTCTACGTGCAGACACAATTTCACCTTTTCCATGAAATAGATTGGCATATGAACAGTATCAGGCATCACAGCCGCGACAAAAACAGCAATAGAAACCTTTTGAGGGTATTTCTCCATTGCAAAAGCCATGTAATCGTTGGCATCCAACAAAATCAGAATCGAAGTACCCTTTGATCTCCTACTATCTTGGCATCC